GCCTGCGCCACTTTGTAATAACTAAGTATATCGCATTTCCACATCGTTTGTCAAATTCTTGCACGCCTTTCTTGACAATAATCGCCTGAAAATAGGTACCAACATGACGCGAATGATTGATGCCATATAAATGAACGTGGCCGAAACTTCTAAACGCAAATCTAAAATTATTTTACCCTCCCGTAAACAGTCTGTAATGTAGTTTACGACTTCATTCGTAGCGGTTTATGTTTGGGCTTAGGACTGACCTTTCAAAGTCGCTCATAAAGTTCTCCAAGAATTTTTAGGCGCACTTCAATAAAGGCAGTTTGTTTTTCTAACGGTATTAGGTACCCAGCCAGTCTAAGTACTCAGTTTTGTGTATTTATTTGTGAAAATAAATAACTATATTATTTTCTTCGAAACATTTGAAGCATCTGGAATGTTTTCCAGCGCTTTATATACGCCTAAGTTGTTTTGTCTGAAGACACCCACCAAGCGCTTTTCCAAGAAGGACAATATTGTTGTAGGGAGTTAAGCTCTATTAAAAAATAACGCGAAGTGTCGCTTCAACCTATTTACTACATACATAGTAGGCCGCTAGAAAGTGGTACACCATGTGACGTTTGATTTGATCGATAGGCTGTGTTGTGGCGTAGTGGCCTTGGGCGACCACACTAATGTATAATATGATATGATAAGTTCAAGGTTCCAACAGTGACGGACACATTTTTAGTGAAAGCCCTTGTAGGCTTGCTGGCAAGGGCGAGTCACGTTTACTTGTAAATTGTTAACGACACTATGAGGCACAAGCTGGTACCGTTCCCGAGAAACGGTTCTATATAATGAATGAACCGTCGACAAGCCTTTGACGTCATTCCCCACCTCGGCTCTCTACGCAGACATATTTATTCCTGACAATTTGTACGCAGAATATTCTAAAGAAATGTCTCTGAAGTCGACACCAATTGTGCTCCCTTGGGCCTCCACCCTACCCCAGAGCCAGACACATAAATTCTAATCTCAATAGTTGTAACTTAAACTGTATTTGCTTGAGCCCTTTAATATAAATAACAGAAGCGAATTACCATAGTGTAGTACAAATAATGTCGCAACGCTTGCGTGCCGTCCTGGTACTAAAGTCAGCCATCATTTGGCACTCCTTCCGTAGGCGTAGTGCCAACAATATCATAAATGGACTGTGTTTTCCAATGCTTTGCCTTAAATTTTACATATCACCGGCATGATATTACGTTATTTGTGTACTTAGTGACTGACCTCGCCGGTGTACAAATGTACCAGTCTCTAATTTGTTGTGTTGCTTTATTTTGGCAAGCTAATGTTGCATACCACTCGACTTAGCAATTTGTCGTTAAACCTCTATGTTTATGTCGCAAGAGAAATACTTGTAGTAAAAGTATGTATACAGCTAGTGACATTTAAATTAATCGTTAAGATTACAAACATAATCATTTCCAATGATTGACAAACCATCAGCTATCAATTATTCATATTAGTTATTGCTACTACATAATAATTACATTTGATTGCAAACCAATGAGGATAGCATTCGTCTTTGTGTATAGAAACTCCTTTCACGTAGGTAAATCAATTTTATTTAATCTCTGATAATAACTTGTCTTAATAAAACGGAATCAATGTTTACTTGGCAGGATTGCCATATATAATATCTTGATCAATTACAATGCAAGGCTTTTACGTGGTAATGAATGTAATTACTTATTCACTTAATTACATCTGACAGGTAACAATGGCGTTAATTAGTCGAAGGCTTCTCTTTTTTAATAGTAATTTTTGTCTAGTCAAAAAACCTTAGTTGTCTGTTTAGGTATATTTTAGACGCTCATCAGTTTTACCTTGTGCTTAGTATTTGGACAAGCTTGTTGTATATGACTGCAAATCTTATCATCTGCAGAAGAAAAATAGTTGTACACAGAAGCTCGATGTGTAACAAAAATTATAACCGTCATTATCATAAAGACATACATATGTCGTGGCGGCCCGGAGGTTTTTTTTAAGGGGGGAAAGTCCTCGAATGTCTGCTCCCGCCTGGGTGAAGCGGGAGGGAGTGTCAGACTCTTACTGACTAAAAACCACCCCGTTCATTCTGCACGTCGAGCCGGAGCCCCGGTTAACCGTTAGGTCCTCGGCCCGGAGGTTTAAGACACCCACTTCTCATGCATAAGAGTACGGGTTCGAAACCTACCAACGGCAAGTATCAATGTGACTTTTTCAAAGTTATATGTACTTTTTAAGATTATCTAGACACTACTGATAAACGGTGAGGGAAATAAGGACACCTGGGCTTATAATTTCTAATTAGAAGTTTGAAATCGCTAACCCGCATTGAGCAAACGTGGTGATTAATGCTCAAACCTTTTCCGTGTGAGCAATGGGCATTTATAGGCTGTTGATGATGATCAAGAAGTACCTAAGTTAATTAATTAACCAACCCAGAATAAAACCTTGAGACGATTCTAAACACACAAATATCAATATATAAGAACGACAACAAAGGACAAATATTACAATTTAGAGGTTACGTAAATACAACTTTGTTTATCAAAATTAGATTTTCAATACCAAAAACCTACTTATATAAGGTTTATGTAACAAGCCTAATTTAATTAAACCAAGTTTTGATAAACTGAAGTTTGAGTTGATTTTGTTATTAGTAATTCTTTGTTCTAAAGTTTTAGAAACATTGAAATTCAATTATAAATGCCATTATTTATTTATACCTACACAATACTGTCACTAATTTCGTGGTTAGGGCTTCATAATGTTATGTTACATGATTCGATTACATAACTATCTACTCAAACGAAAATATGATTAATTTAAATGTCAAAAGGTGGTCAAAGTTTATAAACAAGTTTAAGAGTTCCCTAATACAAAAATAATTTTATATTCTGAACGTAAAATGGTTTTCTGAATAACTTTCTATAGTAAGTAAAATCGCGGGTTACTCACGTGAAGTGAGTTCTTCCTCATGAGCAGCGTGCTGTGAGCTGCTGAGTGAGCTGCGCGACGTCGCCGCGACCGCGCACGCTGCTCATGAGGAAGACCTCTGTGGTTCGAAACTAGTAGAGCTTTTCTCAGTATATTCACGTGAGTAACCCGCGATTTTACATAATTTAGTATGTCTCACGATAGTTACTATAAAAACATAACTTTCTATAGTGTTTTTATTTTTGTTGTAACTCTGCACATTGTAGAGTAAACATTTGACACAACAGATTGAGATTTGTCTTGGAAAGTCTTACGAGTCTTATCTTAGATTTGTGTTCTAAACACATGAAGGTTTCAAATGCTGTACTTTCTTTCCCCGATCCGTTTGTTAATTCGAGAAAGCAATGTACTTAAACAGATAAAGAAATTCATTAGCTCTATTAGTATAAATAAGACACATTTTCTACTAACTATGAGCTTAACTAATTAGTCTTACACCTACAAATATACTTTCACAGACCATTTAGTCTTTCAACATAGTTATTTTTAAACAAAATACACGACAAAAATAAATAATCAAAGTCACAGAACGAACCTTGTATTGTAAAAGGTTATTCAAATGTCATGCCTTTTATAATAATATATCGATTTAATCTGATTAATAAAATTAAAAATATTGTATGACGCATTTTTGTTGCCAATCTGAGCATTCACTTGAGCTGACTTGCCAGTTGCCATGTTAAGTATTTTTTGGTAATGTCAAACGTTGTTTCACACTAGTTTTCTGTTAGGCCGTTGTGTAACTTCGGTTAAGCCGGACCATACATGCTGAAACATGGCTCCCCCATGTCGGCACGGCTTGTTAATATCTCAGTATCTAGCGATTAATTACTTTAGTTAGCCAAATCAAACAATTTATTAGTTAAAAGAAATTCAGTAATAAGATAAAGTATGATGTTGTTCAGAATCATCGCATAGGGTGTAATAATGTTAACCGTTGTCCATTAACTTAATAAGAATTTTAACCCGCATACATATTATGTGTCTTCTATTAAAATGATTATCGTCAGTTTTATATCGTAAATATACTCGCTATTAACAAGATTAGTTTGTATAATAAATTATTTAAATAAATAACTTTGTTACTATCGCTAAATTAAGTCTTACTTACATTTTTCTTAGGGAAATTTATTACATGTATTGGAAAGCTCCATAATGTCATACGTACGTATTTAAAATTATTATGTTTTTTCTTAACCGTGTGGTATAATGTACGGAGCCGCGGAGAAATTACCAGGTTGCTGAGGCTCCGGTTCGAAGGGCAGGAGTAGGAACGGGGTGGTTTTTAGTCAGTAAGAGGCTGACACTCCCTTCCGCCTCACCCAGGCGGCAGAAGCCATTGGATAATTTTCCCCCATTGAAAAAAAAATGGTATAATGTAAATCGGGTTCACAATATCTACTTACTAGCACAGCAAGACTTCAGATAAAACTTTTTTAAATTCTCGCATATTTTCTCATTTTTAGAACAATAGTAATTTAAAACTAGTTTTAGTTCTTTATTGAGGTCTCTGAACTACGAAATTCATAGAATTAATTAACTTTATAAAAACATTAATTCGCAACAAAGAACAAAATGTTCAAAACGAACATTTAGCAAATTAATTTTCTTTGCCAAAATTTTAAGTTTCTTAAATAAAACTTGTGTTATTTTGCCCTGAAGCGAGAATATCACGACTAAAGTTTTATTGTTCAGCTCTTTTGGGCATTTTCCATCTCATCTGGCTCATTATCAATAAAAACTATTCTCTTAAGAGCTCTTTACCTAAAATGTAGACGTTTTAGTCTACTAGGTGCTAGGGCACCTAATTGTCACTTATACCCAACGAAAACTTTAGGGACAAACCGCCAAGTCTGTTTTCTTATTTGTATTCTGGTGAAAATGTCGCCCAACATTAAACAAAGACTAAAAAACACTTGCCTTTTAACTGATAAGTAACTATTATGGAGAATACGCATTTTTTACAAGTATCTTTTTTCATTTTTCCAGGTAATGAAGACTCTTCAACGTGTATTTTGAAAAGAAACTGGGAATTTTATGAGAGGTAAATTTCAAAGAAATAAATATGATTGTAACTCACAATGCTAACTATTGTTTTAAGCTTGGAAACACGCTTAAATTAAAAGCTATCATATGTACAGCACAATTAACAAAAACACATGTACATACGCTTTAAATAGATAACGGAATTATCATTATCCTTATTAGCTTGAAACTTCATGATATGAGTAATATTTCTTTTCATTTCTAACAAAAAGACATGAAACGTCTTCATAAGAACCAAACTTTGATATGTTTATATCGTAATTTCACTTCCGTGACTGCAAAGCTTGCTTCGTGCATTTTTACTGCATTTATCATTATTAAGTTTAATATTTCCTGACGCTTAACTACATCTGTAATAGACATTGGTTCGTGTACTGACGAAATTCTCCCTAGATATTGTAATCCGCCGGTTGAGTCACTTACTTTATTGTCGTTTCAATTAAAACCACGTTTCCTTTTTTAGTCATCCACCATTTTGTTCTCAGTAACGTTATATTTGTTTCTATTGTCTTTACCGGTGTACAGTTTTTGTTTCATTATGATTTGTCTAACGTCTAGGCGGCTTGTTCGTTTACTTATTTATCTACTCTTGCCACGTAATAAGTTTCCATCTCCACGAAGGTGCACTTTAGATTCTAAATCAATATCTTCTTCCACTGCGTATCACAGAGATTCAGTTTTAAATGGAGCTAATGAATTCTCTTTAACAATTCCATTAGATTTCTCAACCCAAGTTGCTGTTGCCGTTGTCGCATTCATTCGTGCTCGTTTTATTACACAAACACAGTCTTTGTTCCTTTTCTTTCTCACATCCTTAGTCATTATTTGCTTTATTTCTAATTAACTACACATTTGAACGTTCATTTTGTTTTCTACGAGTTCATTATTGTTCGTCATTTTAATTGGAATTCTATTATTGAGACCAATCTTGTTAGAATTATGATTTGTATTATTTAAATCAGTTTGTTCATGTCTTATGGTTGTCAATTGTTCTTTATGTCCATCAAAATGTTTATCGTTTATTTGATTTATATCACCATGGTCAACTTCAAATAAGAAAATGAAAGCAAAGTAATAGCTTTATCAATAAGCACAGCAAATACTATCGTCAAACATGTTCCTAATTGAATTCAAATGCATCAATTTTGTATTGTCTAGGTTACTGGACATTGGTCACTATTATTTTAGAATTCAGATATTAGGTTTAGATCCTAAAAATCGTGATGGTTTATCAAGGTGATGGCCATATTGGCATTCAGTGTCATGTAGCATTTAGACTCTACAATCACAAACGCACATATTCAAGTAAAGGTTAACAGAAACATTCTTTGAAATAATAAAAACTATAGAGTATTTGTCCATTTTCCAACTTACATTAGTAAGATCCTGTCCAACAATTATGTTGTAATTGCGGTTACTATATAAACAATAGCAATAAGGCTGATATTTGCATGAATATTGGGAGCTACGGGTGTAACTGTCTATTGGCACTCGTTCAAAGAGTTGTGAAAACAATGCTCGCTGCTATTCAGGTGGTCATTATAAGTTTATCGGTCTCATTTTGTCTGAGATGATAATGTAGCTCTTTATATACCATTGTTGTTCCTTTTAACATATCATTATCATTGTATAGCTGATTATAATAATTAGTAGCTAGCTTTTAGCTCCGCATTACAATCGAATCGAAAAACATTTAAAAATTTGAACACTCAATCGTAATATCTTAATGTTGAAACATTAATACATAAAAATTGAGATTAATTACAGATATTTCTTGCCAAGTAAAACAGCGAGACTGGATTCGCGCAAAGGGTTTATCCGTCCGTAAAACTAACGTTGATAAATTGTTAGACAACTTGGTGGTAATGAATTGTAGGCGATTAAATTCACAAGCGTACTCTCAACACAGCGAGATGCTGATTAATTACAAACACCAAATAACAAATTGCTGGCCACTTTATAATTACTCTATTGTTGTTACCCAAGTTAATCCAAGTACCTAAGACTAAGTCCAGCCTCCCGGGATGATTGATTCGTATCACGATCTAATTTAAGTTTTGCGTAGTCCAATTTAGGAGTTTTTTTTCAAGTCGCTGGTTAACGTCAGCTTTCTATTTCTGTTTATCTCCTACTGAGATAATTCGCTTTTTGCTTTCTATCTGACGAGGTTTAAGTCTTTGCTGATTAGTTTTCTTTAGGGTTTATTATTATTTCAAGTAAGTTTAAGTTCTTTTGTAAGTTTATGAATAAATTTTTAGGTTTATGGTTGGTTGAAAAGATGTGTATTTCTCATAGTGTTACTTGCGGCCTTTAAAACCACTGACCTACACTTAATGTGATCAATAAACTATTCAAGGCTCACAGCTTGAAAGAAAAATATGTGAAATGTGGTTTTAATTTTCAATCAAGTACTAGGTTAGTTTAGAACCAAAGTAAAGTCTTATGTATCAACCACCATAATTAATTGATCATGACTACAATTGCGTCTGAATTTAGGCCTCGTACACAAAACTGCGATGCGATGCGAATTCGCAACGCAGAAAATTACGACACGAATTGCTGCGATGCCATTTCGTGCGACAAGGCGTCTCCCAGGGTGACCATTCCTTCGACGACCGTCAACGGTACTAAACGTATTTTAAATTGAAAACTAGGTCGTGAGTCGTGACATGGATCATAAAAATAAGTGTGCACTTTTGTTATTGCTTAGGAAATACAGGAAAAGGAAACAAATAAGATTTTGATGCGCGATGCGAATCAATTTGTAAGTTCTTGCGATGCGACGTCGCATCGCAGGTTTGTGTATGAGCCCTTAGCTACAATATTGAAAGCAGGATAGGCAAAATCCATCACTCGCCATCAAATGGGAACACAGCTAATTTTGTTTTCTAACTACGATACTATAATAATACACGCGCCAGTCATTCTGTTAGCACCACACGAAGTACGCGAAAAGTGAACGTTTCTGTCCATTGTTACTCAACTGCTTCAACCAGCTAGACTAAGTGGAGGTCGACAATTAATCAAAATAGATGTACTCTTGACACCTACCCGTGGGCGTACACACGTGCCCAAATTACATGTACAGCACTGCTTAATGACTCGAAATCATTAGCAGCCAGCCTCACATTATAAAGTTAGTTTAATCGATTTGAAAGTTCAAGGAAACGTTATCATAACTACGCATTTGCGTGATTTCATTGTACTTCTTATAGAACTGAATTATTTCGGCTATAAATTGATAAAATGGTGTTCGAAGAAACCGTAATTTAATGTATTTTTGTAATCATAACCAAGTCTGAGGACGTCGCCCACGCGCCGGTCGATAGCAAGGTATCTTAACCTTTTTATAATATGGTAGTCATGATTTCATATTAAAACAACAAGTTGTTTTTATGTCGCAACTACTGTGACAAATCAATATTCATCGTCAAAGTTCATCTGAAGACCACGTCCAATAATCAAATATCTGCGTTTCCTAAGCACGCTAATAAGTATTCCTACGATTCGTAACGCATAAGAGAAACTTAAATTCTCACTTTCTTGACATTTTCTAACTTTGAGTCAGATGAGCTACCGCAAATTCCATTTGACATAATTTTCCCTGTTACCCAATTTACAAGGCAGCATTCTAATTTAAGATCGTGAACCATATCTTGCCCGAAATCCAGGCGAACATTAATCGGTCATCAGAACACAATTTTAGTGGCTCCATCGGCCATGTTGCCGTTACTGGCCATATCTCCTAAACTAGCAGCTGCCCTAAGCGATAGCAGTGCCCTCTATCGCCCTCTCAGAGATAACATCGACGAGCACTCACACTGCATTATGTGGGTAATGTATGTGACCCGAGCACTATGGTATTTTGGGAGACCCTTCTACTTCAAACTCCCACAAATTAGTTTCGGAAACACTGATCCCAGAATCCCAGTTGTTAATAACGTAACTTCAGATCTCAAGTTGCTTTGCTGTCAACATCTTTTAATAACTAGAGCAGTAATCGTGTTTTTAAAAATCTGTTCGTGGTAATTTTTACTATAACGTTAAACACGTATCTAATATATAATTTACAATAACAGTGAGTACTTTCGCACTAAGAGGTAACACGTGGCGAATATAGTTTGGGATTTATTCAGATACGCATTCGTGTGGAAATTGAGAAAGATGGCAGATTGCTAGTTGGTCGAATAAGTTGTACGTAGTCTTCTCATTCCCAACATATTTTTTCCATGAGTTTGTTTATGAAGCAAATATGATTTATAGCACACTATTTCGTACTTTGGCTACTTACACAAAAGCAGCCATATTTATTTGTTCGAAGTTGAGCTCATTTTACGCAATACTATTTCATGTTGCTTCATTATTTTACTTTAAGTGGCATTAAAGGACTTTTTCTTTATGTTGAGTAATTGTGTGATATATTTTTATGACACTTTATTATACGACCTAGGCTGGGGTAATATTTAAGCTTTGTTAAATATTACATTTGAATTTATTATTCAAATGGTTCAGTTTCGAATTGCTGGATAAATTGAACGCGGTCGCGATCATGTTTTCGGGATTGGAATGGTATTATATTAAACTTTTACCATCATGCATATAAATGACCTGAAATTCAGGATTATAAAATTTATTTACATAAGTAATACAAACAGTCAGATCCTGTGCATGTTTCATTGATTTATATTCATTATTTTTGAAACAGTGTGTTTATAAAAATGGCATTGTTCTCATACACGTGACCACTTTTCTTTATCCTTATTTATTTTCCGTACTGCATGCGTGTATGATTCAAGTTTCGATTCCCCGTCCGTTATGAGTAATATTGATTAAAAATAACTCGGAGAAACTCGAAATAAGTACACATTAGAAATCTAATATTAGGTGCTTGGCGAGTTGATGAGTTGTGATGACACTAAATTGTCGTTCCTACCCTGTTTATGGACAAGCACGACTTTTCCTGACGTCCTATAATTTGACTAAAAAAATTAAATAATA